AGGTGCCACAAAGCTGTCCCTTGGCCCCTGCCCCACCTGCAAAGTGTCACAGAGCTCTGTGTTTCCTGCCGTCCCTCCTTATGCTGTGGCCACACTACATTCTTCGCAGAGGAAGGGACAACACCCTCACCCCACCTTGTACCGTTTTTTATATTCTGAGCTCCAAAGCTGTGTCTGAGGATCCAACACTCTTGTGCAGACAGCTCCTCAGCTCTGGCTCTGGTTTCACTCCCCTAGGGGCTCCAGCCCTGTTGGGCCTACGTTCACGGTCCTGAACAACATTCCTCCTTCCATTTTCCCCTACGTCTCCACCCCCATTCATTAAACTCTTCCTCGGTCCTTCAGCTGAAAAACAGGGTGCTGCAGATCAACCATGTTAATAAAAGCTCAGAAACTGTGGCGGGTCCTGGTCTCAGGTGTCTCTGACCTCTGCTTGGGCTCAGCTGCTTGTCTTGCTACAAGAAAAGCATGGAGCCTGTAACAGGCATATTCCTTTTTCTTTTTTATCCTCACCTGAGGATTTTTTTTTTTCATTGATTCTAGAGAGAGAGAAAAGGGAGGGAGAGAGAGAAACATCCACTTGAGAGAGACACATCGGTTGGTTGCCTCCCACAGGAGCCCTGAGCACAAGCCCTCACCATCCAGGAATCGAACCTGAAACCCAAGTAGGTTTCCTTGAGTGGGAATCAAACTCTCGACCGTTCAGTGAATGGGCTGGTGCTCTAGCCACTGAGCCACGCTGACCAGGGCTAGTGTTGTCAGTCTTATGAATTTTAGCCATTCTGGTAGGTGTGAAGGGATGTCTCATTGTAGTTTAAATTTGCATTTTCCTGATGACTAAATGATGTTGACTAAATGAAGCCTTTTCATGGGCTTATAAGCCATTCATATATCTTTTGTGAGGTATCTGTTCAATGTTTTACCTATTTTTCATTGTTTTAAATTTTTATTTTACTAAGTTGTAGACATTTTTTATATTTTGAATACAAGCCCCTCATCAGTGTCATAGGTTGGGTTTCCAGGGAAACAGACTCTAACAAGGAGCTAAGGCATGTGGGAAGTTCACTGGGGAGTGCTTTTGGGGGTAACACCTGTGAAAGAACGAGCAGGATGAAGCGATGAAGTTGAACAATAGCTCCGTTGCAGTAGTGCCCTCAGCTCGCCCCACAGCAGGCTCTGGAGCTGGATAGCCCATCAGAGATATCCTGAATTAAGGCAAGGGGATCAGGCTTTGCACCTCCCTCCAGATAACCCAGTGGACTAGTCAGTGGATGCGGACTGCCCAGGGAGAGGGAAGTCACTTCTCTTTGGCCCAAGGTCAGTTCCTTAGAGGGATTCATCTGTGAGCCATCAACACTCCCAGCAGCTGGAGGAACAGGTGTCTCTGAACTGAAGGGGGCTGATGTGGACAGTGTTACCACAGCATCCACCCCAGATATATGTATTGCAGACATTTTCTTCCAATATGTATTGTCTGTTCATTTTCTTAATGGATCAGCAAACATTTTAAATTTCGTTGAATTTTTTTTCTTACTGTGTGTGTTTTTGTGTACTTGCTAACAAATTTTGCCAACCCAAGATTGCAAAGGTATTCTGTCTACATTTTCTAGAAGTTCTTGAGTTTTAGGTTTTATATTTAGGTGTATAATCTATCAAGAATTAAGTTTGTATATGATGTGAGCTACCATCAAAGTAATTCTTGAGGACAGTCAGCTTTTTCTCTTTCAGGTACATCATCACTTCCCTTAATTTGCAAGAGCAGGGGCATCTTTCATTTCCATTGCCCACAGTAGAGCATAGCCAAAATGCTGACAGGACAACTGTCTAGCAATTTATTCATTAGTTTGAATTGTGCAGTTCTGAAACTCAGTCCCTAAAATGAAACGCTGTGCTCAGTCCAGTTCAGTTTTATCATTTTTTTGTCCTTCCTTAGGAGTAAAACTTTACATTCATGAATTTTTTTTTAAAAAGTGACTTTATGAGTTGATTGGGGAGAATGATTAAAAGATTAATTACCCTATCACTCCACACAGAATGGAGCTGTTTCTCCGTCTTGTGTTGTTCATGCTCTGAAAGTTTGTCTGAAATGAATGCTGTGATTAGCAACATTGGTGAGTTCAGTAACTTGGAAAAGGCAAAGACTCTCTTAGGATAGCTCAGTATTAAATATTAAAATAGTAACACCAGTTGTTTGTTTTCGTTTTTCTGAAATGCTTTAATCACTTTCTTCTGTTTCCTCTTATATCTTCACAAGACATCTTGAAGTATTGTTACTTTACAGGAGAAAAGTTGAGGTACTGAGTTGTTAACCACGTTGGCTATGGAGTCAGTTGTATCTCCCACGCCAGTGCCCCAGCCACTGGATGCATTCAGAATACTCTCCGTTTATTAGTTAATAATGGCCATCCTAAATGTATGAAGGGCTCACCTGGCCTGTGTGCTTGGATTGTGGGGATTCCTCTCTTGCTATATGGCAAGTGTTAGTTGGTGCTGACAAGCAACTGTACTTCTCTGGTTTTCAATAGACACACAGTTAGCTGTAGATCCCTTCCTTCTTCCCAAACGAGGAGGGAGTATATTTCAACCAGCCTTTCAACCAGACACACAGTTAGCTGTAGATCCCTTCTTTCTTCCCAAACAAGGAGGGAGTATATTTCAACCAGCCTTCATTTTCCCATAAAGACTACATATATAGGGTGTCCCAAAAAATGCATACACACACTTTGAATCATTATAAAGGCGATGTTTATTAAAATACATTTCATTTTCAAAGTTGAGCTATCAGCTATTAAAGTGTGTATACACTTTTTGAGACATCCTGTATATTTCCCCAGCTTCATAGACACAAGTTCAGTAGTACACCAGAGGTAATACAGCCACTATTATTTCTGCTAACCTCATAAAGGAAACTAAAATAGAGAAGTGAAGTACGTGATATACCATTAAATTATTGAAACTTTTTCATAAGCAGCATACATAATTACCTCATATAGTTTTTAATGTCATTTTTTTACACTGCTAAGACTCCAGGAAGCCATATAGGCTGCACCATTGCTTCAAGAAATTTTGAAACGTAATCCTTTTTATTGTGTATATCAGATGGCAGTTCTCAAAGAAATCTGAATAAAAAGAAAACTTGGGATTAAGTTGGATTAAAACTCTAGATCATTTACCTCATTGCTTTTGATGATGGTTTTTTACATGTATCAAGTTGTTTGTCGTCATTAAATATCTGCAGCTTTTTGTATGTCAATCATACCTCAATAAACGTTTTTTTAAAAGACTTTGGAACATTTTAATATTGAACTAAATACAATTTTTTGTTGTGTGAGTAATACATGTTCATTTTAGATAAATTATAAATGTTTTATAAATTATGTTGTAGCCCTGGCCAACATGGCTCAGTGGTTAGAGCGTCAGCCTGCACACCGGAGGGTCAAGGGTTCGATTCCTGGTCAGGGGCGCTTACCTGGGTTGCAGGTTCGATCCCTGCCCCCAATCAGGGTGCATGTGGGAGACAACCAGTGGATGTGTCTCTCTTGCATCCATGTTTCTCCTTTCTCTCTCTTTCTCCCTCTCTTCCCTCCCTTCCATTCTTTAAAAATCATTGGAGCCCAGCCGGGCGTGGCTCAGCAGTTGAGCATCAACCTAGGATCCAGGTGATTGGGGTTCGATTCCCGGTCAGGGCACATGCCCGGGTTGCGGGCTCGATCCCCAGTCGGGGGCGTGCAGGAGGCAACTGATCAATGACTCTCTCATCGTTGATGTTTCTCTCTCTCTCCCTCGCCTTTCCTCTCTCTGAAATCAATTAAGATATATTAAAAAAAAAAAAATCAATGGAAAAAATATCCTCACTCCTCAGGTGAGGATTAAAAAGAAAAAAAGTTATGTTATAAATTATATTTACATATTATGTTTCTAAATTATAAAGAAATGTTAACATTTAGTTTACACTTGTACTTACATAAATACTTTTTGTTAAAAATACAAAAACCATGTTGTCTGCCACCAGCTTTTTCCTCATAGCAATACATTATGACTTTTTATAGCCATAAGTAGACCTATATCATAATTTTTAATGGCTGAGTTTTATAGTACTGTGATGAAATTTATTTAGCTAATCTCCTTTCTTAGACATTTAGGTTATTTTAGGGTTTGCACTCTTAATAAGTGTAGTGGTCATCTTTGCATAGTGATTTCTTCCTTAGGGCAAATTTCTAGAAGTGAAATTGCTAAATCCAAGAATTCACATTTTGAGACTTTAAATCTAAATTGCCAAATTGTGGTCCAGATAGGTTGCAGCAGTTTACATTCTTTCCAGTGTTAGACAAGTATGCTCATTTCTCCCTATCATGGATAGTAGACAAGTTTTCCTACATCATTGCCATCTGGTAAATTTTAAAATAGCACCTCCATGTTTTTAACTGGCATTATTCGTGAAACTGACCCTTTTTCATTTTCACTGGCCATTGTAGATTTTGGTCTCACAAATGAGCAGAACTCACAGTCTTGATTAGATACTTCAGAAACTTTTTTTCCATGCATTCATCAATCTTTTCAACAGTTTCTTTTATTTTCTTTCCAGGAGCGACTAAAGCTGGTGACTGTTTTGGGTGCCGGCCTTCTCTGTGGAACTGCATTGGCAGTCATCGTGCCTGAAGGAGTACATGCACTTTATGAAGATATTCTTGAGGGTGAGAGGGAAAGGCCTTCTTTCAGATATGTTATTGACATTGAGGGTTGAAAGGAGCTTAATGATATTTTTTTCTGAAGTAGAATTGATATTTGCCATAAAAGTCTACCCTGAGAAGAGTTCTTAAAATATATCTTTTGACATCTTTGACATTGAACACATCCTTAGCAGTTTGTGATTTGAATGCCCCAATTCATGAGTAACATTTAAGATTTATTTGCAGTAATGCATGAATTTCAGGCTTTCAAAGTATGACTGACCTTTTTAAATGCCTACTCAAAAACTTCCCAAATCCTACATGATAGGTATTTTCAGTGTTTTTTAATTGAAAAACTATGTAGATATACACATTTGGATTTAAAGACTCTTTATAGTAAACTTTGCAGATAATTGGTGACGACCCCTGCAGTAAAGGACAACTGAAAAACTGAAGAGGACTCTCCTGACGCTAATAACAAGCAGAGAACAGCATAGCTGTGTGAGAGTAAATGCCGGACGGTCGGCTTTGTTCACTCACCTGCGAAATAATTTGGTCCTTCACACCAGCTTGAAAACATGACTTGATTCAAATTTGTGATTCAGCAAAATCAGGTTACTACTTGTCATGAACCTTCACAGATACCTGTGAAGGATTAGAAAGCAAAACTTTTAAATTGGTGAGCTGAATCTTCTAATGCCAACAGTCTACTGGACTTTAAGAATAGTATAAAGAGGTATGCACCTTCCAAATTTTGTGCTAGATACCCTATAACAAATAGTTTTTCAGATCTCAGTTGAGGAAAAGACCTGTGTCCTTTATCCAGAGTGGTGATGCTCTTATACCTGGGGTATGCATGTGGGCATAGTGGTAAAGTGTAAGGATTTGGGGGATCTTACTGCAAAATAAGACTGAGGCTGAGGATTTGTCAGCTTTAGGGGGAGAGAAGTAACCAATCGGAAGCCTTGGAGCAGTGGTTTCCACTCTTTTTGATCACACATCCTACTGGGAAAAAATATATACATACACTATTCTATTGACTTACTGTGTACATTATAAAACACATGGCTAAAATTATAGAAAAATGTAAAGTATGAGATTTAAAGTAAATATGTATTGATCAGTATTTTCTTTCATATCCCAGTGGGTCAGCCTGACTTTTTCTGGGTGTGATTATTGCACCGTAGTGATCAGATCCTGGTATACTAGGAAACAAAAAGGGGGAAAGGAAAAGAAGGGAAGGGACTTCCCTCCCCACCAATACCTCTCAGCAGCCCCTTTTCTTGGTCCTTGGGCCAGAAGGACAGGGTTTCTTTTTGCTGCCTTCTCTCCTCATGATATTGTTACTTTATGTAGTAGTCTTCAGGTACATTTTTTGAACACTTTTGTCTTAATCAGTACATGATTGCGGCTATAGTGGATTTATTCCATTTGGACCAGCACCAAATGAGTCCCATCATTCTTTATTAAAAGTAAATACTAATATTCCACTCTATTAAAAAATTTTGAGGTAGCTCAGCCATGATACTAGCTTGCTTAAACTAACCTGTCTACAAATTTTTCACATCTCTCTTCATACTGATGAATTTAGTCGCAATCATTTTCGTCTCTGCTACTTTATCTTTTTCTCACCCCACCTTTTCCCTCTCTTTATTTGTATATCAAACGAACTTTTCTCTAAACTACAAGAAAGGAGTTTGTTTATATGTTACAACAGCCTATGGTTTAGTTCTTCCGTGGACCTTGCAATTATGATAATTAACATTTTTTCAGAGCCCAGTATACCATGTTAATTAACTGAGTGCTCTGACACTTTAATAAACACTATTAAATACTAATTTATGTAAAAAGGAATCTCTCACATGTTCTTCTCATAATTATAGTTCTAAAGCCACTAGAATTAGGTGATTATCATCATTCATGTGAGAAAACTGTTTTTTTATAGAAACAATTTTTAAGAACACAGTTTCTTGAGTACTGCAGTGCTTGTTTACTGTGGAGCTAAAATTTGAAACCACCATAATTCTTTGCAATGGGTTTAGGAAGGCAGGCTTTTGGGTCAAAGATCTACATATAAATGTGATGTATTCGTAAATAGATAATCATCAAAACTGTTGTCGTCAGGAATGATTCAACAGTCCCACTAACTTCTCCAAGAATGCCACATACCAGATTCTTTAGAGAGGTACACTTACCATCTTATGGCTTTTCTTTTTTTTTTTTTTTAGAAGTATGTGTCCATCAATTTACTTTTTTTGTCTTTATATATATCTTTATTGATTTCAGAGAGAGGGAGGGAGAGAAAGAAATAGAAACATCAATGATGAGAGAGTCATTGATTGGCTGCCTAGCCCACAACCGGGGCATGTGCCCTGACCAGGAATCAAACCGCGACCTCCTGGATCCTAGGTCGATGCTCAACTGCTGAGCCATGCCAGCTGGGCCATTCTTACCGCTTTTCTATGTCATTTTGCTCTACACTTAAAAGGATTGGGTTATATTTGCAATTATATTTCATTCTTATCCTATCATTCATTAATAAAAATGGAGCTCTTTAAGAATCTTGTTATACTCTGCTCCAGCAGCTTTCTTTTTTACCCCGTCTTCACCTGAGGATATGTTTTCATTGATTTTAGAGAGAGAGGAAGCGGGGAGAGAAAAAGGGAGAGAGAGCGAGAAACATTGGTTGGTTGCCTCCCGTATCGTAGGTTCCCTGACTGGGGATTGAACCTGCCAGCTGGGCATGCGCCCTGCCTGGGAATCAAACCTGCACCCTTTTGGTGAACAGGACAACACTCCAGTCAACTGAGCTACCCAACCAGGGCTACTCCAGTGATTTTCAACCGTTTTCATCTCATGTCACACATAAATTCATTACTAAAATTCTGCAGCACACCAAAAAATTTATTACATTTTTTGCCAATTTAACAGAAAGAATAGTTATAATTTTAATTCACACCAGATGGTTATTGTTATGTTGGCTGTTGTCATTTTTTAAATTTGACAGTCTAAGGGAAAAGAGGTCAGTGCCTTTGACTAAATAGGTATTGCATGTTTTGTAAGTTCTTGCAGCACACCAGTTGAAGATAGCTGCTCTACTCTCAGGATGCTGAAACATGGATGATCATGGGCTAATAAGATCTATCTCCTCTACCTCTTATTTTGTCTGCTAAAATGTCTGGTGCCTGCTTTTACCCTGTCTACTCCTCTTCCTTTCCCCCAGCATTATTTTGTTGCTCAGTATTATATGTGACCAGATATTCAGGTGAAATATTTAACATAAAATATTTAAAGATGATTCTCCCAAATGAGTTCCATTTAATAATAACTGTGTTCCTGAACATTTAGTGAGCACTTAACATTTACTACATACCATACTGATTGGAGATAGATGGTGGTGATGGTTGCAGAACAGTCTGAATGTACGTAATACTAGACACTGCACACTTAAATATGTTAAAATAGTAAATTTTGTTATGTATATTTACCACATTAAAATAAGTTTTTTTTAAAAAAGCTATGGAAACAAATCAAAAATATCTTACAGGAATTAGAAAAATATATAGGTTTTTATTATCTTCAGATGACATGTACTTTGGTGCCCCTCAAAAATGACTTTTAAAGAATTAAGACAGGGTCTAAAATATTACAACAGACTTGTTCAATTTCTTTGATTAAAGGTAAAAATGCTTAATCTAATTATAACTGATAAATGTCTAGTATGTTGGTCTCTATTCATGAAACACAGCAAAGATGAGGATTCTGGCCTGGAAGCATTTTTCAGATATGAACTAGTAGTATTACTTGGCCAGGTGTTACTTACTATAATTCCAGATCTCCCAACAATCATAAGAATTCTAGAACTGAATTTAGATTGCAGGATGTCCCTTTAAAAAAAATAAAAGTTTTTATTGATTTTAGAGAGAGAGGAAGGGAGAGAGAGATGCCTCTGTTTTGGGGGTTTTTTAAATATGTTTTTATTGATTTTAGAGAGAGAAAAACATCCATGTAAGAGAGAAACATCGATTGGCGGCCTTCTGCACACCCCCTACTGGGGATGGAGCCCACAACCCCGGGCATGTGCCCTGACCCGGAATCCACCTGGCAACCTTTTGGTCCATGGGATGATGCTCAACCAACTGAGCTCCATCATTCAGGGCACATGATGTGCCTCTTGTAAACTGCTCTTCCCATTTGGTTTCTAGTTAGTGATTGCCCCCTGATATTTTTTAAAACTAAAAGTTTTACATTCGGTTTGCTCTTTGTTTGCAATTTTTATATTGACCTAGGTATAAAACTAGATGAATTTTATTGTAATTGTTTTTATTACTGCTCTTCATTCACCTGTTTTCATCAGAATAAAACTTACTGTGGTTTCTGATGAGATTGGCATGAATTTCTCAGCCAAAAAGGAGGATTTGGGATTATGATTGCTTTCTTGCTTGGTGATTTGCTTCCATTTCCAAGGTTTTGAGATAATAGGCAGCTGAAAGGTCTGCATGCCAAAAGCAGGAGCTTGGGAATTTTTCATCTTGAGCTTTAAGTTGGAGGAGTTTATGACCAGCTGGATTACAATATAGGAAATGGATGATTTTGCGGTAAAGTAAGTAGAGCTTGAAATATAAAACAGGGGAAGCTTCTACATGAAAATGTTTTAAAAGGAAAACATTTTTTTCTCTTTATGGTTCATTCTGCTCTAGGAAAACCCCACCAAGCAAGTGAAACACAGAATGTGATTGCATCAGACAAAGCAGCAGTAATACCAGTTGCCCACGAACATGAACACAGCCATGACCACACACAGCTGCATGCCTACATTGGTGTTTCCCTCGTTCTGGGCTTTGTTTTCATGTTGCTGGTGGACCAGATTGGCAGCTCCCATGTGCATTCTACTGATGGTAAGTGATTCCAAGGCTTTCTGGGTAGTGCAGTAAATATGCAGTTTAGAAAATCACAAATAATTGAAAATTTTAATGTGTCACTGGCCTGATTTAGTGCTAAAACTTGTCTTCTTCAGGTTCCTGTGAACGTTTTACTCAGTTGGGGGAGCTGGTGAGTTGTGTGAACATTTTATTCAGTTGGGGGAGCTAGTGAGTTGTGACATGTAACACAAGAGAGTGTTTATTGACTATTACCCCCATTATCTTAAAACTGTCAAGTTTATTTAAGAGTCTGGGGCAGAAGCTCTTAGATAGTCTAGAGCTTATGGACCTTTTTTTTGGAATAATGTTTTTAAGTATGCAAAGCATAGTTCATAGGGTTACAGAGAAAACCAATTATATTGAAATATAGTTACCAAAACATTACATTTGTGACCTGTTAATGTATGTCTTTTTTACCAATGCATTAAATAATGAGATAATTTAAATCAGCAGCAAGATTAAGTTTTATTTTTTAGGCTATCTATATGACAGCTACTACTGTTGCTTAGCTTGACTGAGAACATTAAATTGTGAGATGGGCTTTAACAAGGCAATATGAGTGTCAAGTTGAACATCCATTTCATTTGGGTGTGTTTTCATGGTTACTAGTGTAGAAAATTCTGATTCACAAGGATATTTTCTTACAAATATATGTAAGCACATTTGTAGCTTGCTTATCAGGGAAAGATAAGCTTCTTTCAAGGACAACTGGAATTCCCTAGGACTTTTTAAATTTACTCCAGTAATAGTAACTTTTTTGTCTTAAGATCACTGAATTCATCTTTGGTGAGGTCAACATCTTTGATCTGTGATACAACTTTGAATCCATCATAATATAAATAAATTTGAAAGAGTTATAATAGACATAGGGGTTTACAAATACCTCTTTTCAAATACACTGACAGAATTTTGCAGATAGGAACTGCTGGAAAGCAGCATAGATATCTTGATCCCCAGTGGGCAGCTATCCCATGACTTTTACTGTTTGGCGGCTGAATGACTGTTAGGTACAGAGATGCCTGATAGTTGCTCCGTTCTGTCACATGAGCATCCACAGACAGGAAGACTAATCATGCAATATAGTGGCAGTTCTTTAAGCCCTTAATTTAAAGTAGTGATGAGTGAAAGCAATAATATCAAGAAATCTACAACTGTAAAATAATATGAAATTACCTGGGTTCTGGCAATAAAGTATAAGTAGTACAAATATTATTTATGGATTATTGTCTCTGCTCATAATGAAAGGAAATGCTAATTTTTAGTTAAAGGTTAGTAAAAATAAAAATGCATTTTTTTCCCAAGGTGAGGTTACAGTCACCCCTGCATTCTACCTTTGTTCTCCTTTGTTGACCCCAGGCTAAGAATCCTTGAACTAAAAAGAACTGTAGAAAGTCAGGCAAACAGATAGTTCATAAAAAGATAGAAAAATGATCCTTAAGCATATGAAGAAATGAGATGCTCACTTTCACTTATAATAAGAAAAATGCAAATCAAAACTTGCCTGAGATGCCACTTGCTACCTGCCAGGCAAAAATTCAAAAGCCTGACAAACAGTTTATTGGCAAAGCTGTGGTTGAACAGAGGCTTTTACCTACTGCTGTGGGAATGCAAAACGACAGTCCCTGTACGGGGGAATTTGGCAATATCTAAGAAAACTACATATGCATTTACCCAAAAATCTCACTTTAGGAATTTAATCTGACCATGTGGCTCCAATATGAAAGCACTTATGCACAAGATTACTCAGTGCAGCACTATTTATCATTGTAAAACCACTAACCGTCTAATCCTGGAGACCAGCGGAGTGAAGCGCAGTGTGTACGTGTAAGGGAGTTCTGTGCAGCTGTGAAGAAGATGAGGCATCAGCCCTCTGAACCGATAGGGAAAGATGTCTAGGAGAGATTGTTAAGTGAATAAAAAGCAAAACTGTAAATTCACTTCTATTATATACTGTATTTTGTGTAAGAAAGAAGGGAAATTAAGAATATATATGTTTGTTTTTATGAAAAAGGGAAAGGATCAGCTAGAAAACAGTTGGTTACCTGTGTGGGGTGGGGTGGGGCAGGGGGCATGATAGGACAGAAGGGTTTTAGGAGGATGTGACACTTCCTGGCATGCCTTTTTGATATAGTTTTTAGTTTTGGAAACATTAATATTCTCCATATTAATAAAATGAATCATATATATATACACACGTGTACATATATACATATATATTTTATATATATATATATGTTTATGTATACATGTATGTGTCTCCTAGCTCTGTCTGCAGGGAGGGTTTAGAGGGAGAGACACCCCACTAGCAATGAGCATACTAGGGCTCTTCATAGAAATGGCAATTCCAGGACAGGGGAAAGGTAGGTACAAAATGAGCTTGGAACATCTAGGGCTCAAAGAAAGTAGGAACGAAGAAGTTGGAAGCTTGTCACAGAATATATGAACTGGCTTGAAGGAGCTTCCACTTCCACTGGCCAGGTATAAGACAATTAGAGCACCAAAATAATGAGGAATAGTAATTAAGAAATGTAAAGCACTGAAAAAATGGGACTCAATGAGCACATCTGAGGGGGTGGGGATAGGTAGGTAGGAGATTGGTGGGGAGGAAAGGAAATCAAAGGAGGAGGGAGGGTATTTGCTCACAGTGGAATGCTACATGTGAACTGGTAAGTGTAGAAGGAATGCTCGAGTTGGAAAATCATTTTTGCAGTCTTCATAGTAAAAATTGTCTCAGGAAATTATCACCAGTGCATATTAAATCTAGGGGGTACATTTTTATTTGCTTATTAGTTGTAAGGGAAAAAGAAGTAACTAAGTCAAGAAATCAGACAGTACCTTAACTAGATGAGCAAAATTAATGGCATTGGTGTTCTGCGCTCGGTGTGGGCAAGTAAAGTCCCATCAGACCAACCTCCCCACAGATAACTTTGAACTCTGGACAAAATTAAAAAACAACTTCCTAGAGACACAGGAGAATGACCTAAAGCAGGCAAATTCTGGGGGGGAGTCAACACTTGAAACGGTGAGCAGTTTTTATAGCTTTGAGCAGTCAGCATGTGGGAGGTAGCTGGGTCAACTGAAGACTTTCCCCGTATGCACCTCTTCAGGACAGGGGAAGCTTCTAAGTGTGTGAAGCAGAAGGAAAAAGACAGGAGTGAGAAAAATAATATACTTTAACAGCTTTCAAAGAATTCTTCTACCTCCAGGTCCATGGTCTAATAGTTTTTGTTTCACATTGCTTAATGGCTGCCTTGCTTATTTTTACCTCAGATCCAGAAGCAGCAAGGCCCAGCAATTCCAAAATCACCACCACGCTGGGTCTGGTCGTCCATGCTGCAGGTAGGGAACCCTTTTCTTTTCTGTTGCACAGTGGGAGGCTTAGTGTTTACATCACAGGGACCATCCACATGAACCACTCTTGTAGCTGGCCTTCAGGGAAAGGATTGGTTAATGAAGTCCTCCAACATAAGCACAAGCCCTGGTGTACTTAGTGTCAGGTCTATAAGTTAAGAATGGTTTTTACATTTTTTAATGGTTAAGAAAAAAGATGATTTCATAGCACATGAAAATTACATAAAATTCAAATTTCAGTGTCCATACATAAAGTTTTATTGTAACAAAACCATGCCCACTTGTTTACATATTATCTGTGGCTGCTTTCATACAATAATGGCAGAGTTGAGTAGTTGCAGGAGACCAAATGGCCCGCAAAGCCTAAAATATTTCCTCCCTGGCCCTTTACAGAAAGTTTGCTGATCTCTGCCCAAGTATCTCATCTCAGAGAGAGCCCCAGCACTTTTGTAATGAATAGCACTGCTGACCAGTGTGTACCCAAAGTGTCAGTTTAGGCAAAGGCAGGCTTTAGAGTGCAGAAGTCTCAGCATTGCTTACTGGGCATGCCTTAGAATCATAACCCAAAACTGACAGTAGGATTCTGTCAGTGACAAAGACTGAAAGGTGGCAAACTATTATCTGGACCTTTCTAGTGTCACATGCTTTTCTAACAAAAAATTCACTCATCCAACCAACATTTACTCATTATGTATATATCAGCTATGCAGAGTCCTGTGTCTTTATTTTGTTTTTGCATCTGCAAGATACAGAGATGCTTCCTTTGAAAGTCTTTGATATTTCTCTTATTACAATTTGATTATCATTGGATATTAAAAAATTGACTTTAGAAAGAGAGGGGAAGGAAGAGTGAAAGAGAAACATCGATTTCTTGTTCCACTCATTTATGCATTTATTGGTTGATTCTTGTATGTGCCCCGACCAGGGATTGAACCAGCAACCTCGGTGCATCAGGACGATGCCCTAACCAACTGAGCTACCTGACCAGGGCCTATCAGTGGATTTTTTGAGCATCATACTTTTTTCCAATAACATCAACAGTAGTGGGTAACATATTAATATTCTGGGCCAGGTGCTAAGCTCTTTATATATGTTATCTCATTTAACCCTCAGGAAAACCCTAAGAATAGGGTGTCCCAAAAAAATGTGTACCTACTTTAACAACTGATAGCTCAATTTTGAAAATGAATGATATTTTTAAATACGTTTTTATTGATTTCAGAGAGTGGAAGGGAGAGGGAGAGAGATAGAAACATCAGTGATGAGAGAGAGTCATTGATTGGCTCCCTCCTGCACGCCCCCCGCTGGGCATCTAGCCTGCAATCCGGGCACATGCCCTGACCAGGAATCGAACCGAGATCTGGATTATAGGTCGATACTCAACCCTGAGCCATACCGTCTGGGCGAAAATGAAATGTATTTTAACTTTTTTTAAAAGCCTCACCCGAGGATATTTTTTTTTCTAGAGAGAGAAACATTGATGTGAAAGAGACACATTGATTGGTTGCCTCCCGCATGCGCCTTGGCCTTGACCCGGGACCAGGGATTGAGCCTGCAACCGAGGTATATGCCCTTGGTCAGAATCACACCCGGCACCCTTCAGCCCATGGGCTGATGCTCTAACCACTGAGCCACACCGGCTAGGGCAAAAATGAAATGTATTTTTATAAGCACTCCCTTTATAATTATTCAAAGTGTGTGTTTACATTTTTTGGGACACCCTATATACTTTATTGAGCCCATTTTAGAGATTAGAAGGCTAAGATTCAGAAAGGTTAAGTAACCTTTCCAGAGGCAAATCCAGCTCTACTTAACTCTGTAGCCCACACAGTCAGCAGTGCACTGTTGTTGTTATTTATAGTTGTTGTTATAGTGTTTTATGTTTTGCTTTTTTCAAATTTAGCTGATGGTGTTGCTTTGGGAGCAGCAGCTTCTACTTCACAAACTAGTGTCCAGTTAATTGTGTTTGTGGCAATAATGCTACATAAGGTAAGCAAAATTTTGGTGTAAGATTTAATATTGAATATATCTATAATTAAAATTTCTCTTTGATCATGATGTTTTTCTGGAATGGGAAATTTGCTTAGTTATTTTTATGATTGCTGTTCATTTTAGAGAATCAAAGTCTGTCTTAGCTAGTTTTTTGCTATAATTTTCTTAAGCTTTTACTTGAAAGGGTTTTATTTTTTATGGTCATACACAAACTGTTCAAGTCTCTCTAGATTTCTATATTTTATGGTAATTTTGGTTTATAAATATTTTTTCTTATACCTTTTTCTTGACTATTTCTTTTTCTACTATCCAAGAAACGCACATACACACACACACACACAGAGGATATTTTCTTAGCTTAGAACATTAATTCCTAAAAGGCAGAGTCAGTCTTGGTACTATGCTTTTTTTTTCTTTTTTTGTACAAAAATTCAGTCAAATGACATGTTTTTCTTAATGTAGAAGCAGTTCACACTTCTGGAGTAATAAGGGGTAATTTTTCTTTTCCAGGCACCAGCTGCTTTTGGGCTGGTTTCGTTCTTAATGCATGCTGGCCTAGAGCGGAATCGAATCAGAAAGCACTTACTGGTCTTTGCACTGGCAGCACCAGTTATGTCCATGGTGACATTCTTAGGACTAAGTAAAGTAAGTCTGACTCTTTTCTAGCTTATCTGGACAAGTATCTAATTCTTTTGTGATCTACTAGAACTTATGGTCTCTTACATTGAATTTTTTAAAAATATGTTTTTATTGCTTTTTAGAGAGAGAGGAAGGGGGAGAGAGAGAGAGAAATGTCAGTGAGAGAAAGATCAGTCAACTGCCTCATGCACGATCCCCAGTAGGGAATCAAGCCCGAAGCTTGGGCATGTGCCCCAACCTGGAATTGAACCAGCAACCACTTGGTGTTTGGGACATCGCTCATCCAACTGAGTCATACCAGCTGGGCTACAATGAATTTTTAATTTAATTATTCCCTCAAACTAAAGATGCAGTTAGGCCCTGGCTGGTGTGGCTCAACTGGTTAGAGTGTTGTCCCATACACCCAAAGGTTTCGGGTTTGATTCCCTGTCAAGGCACATACCCAGGTTGCGGGTTCGATCCCTGGTCATGTGTATAGGAGGCAACTGATTGATGTTTCTCTCTCACATCAATGTTTTTCTCTTTCTCTCTCAAATCAGTAAAATCAATCAATAAAAAAGATAAAATTAGGAGTAAAACCCTATACAAAGTAAATGTCTTAATTCCAAGTTAATCCTCTTTGTAAATTTAGCATTTCCTTAATTCACTTAATTTGAAAACTTTTTTACATCAGTTCCAAAAATATTTGCACAAATATATGACCTTTAAAGTAATATAAGTCAAACCTAACCAGACATGCTAATTTTATTTGACAGATACATAATAAGTCACAGTGCATATTTAATGTTTAAGTAGGCACATGAAGCGTGAGTGACAGGCATGCAGCAGCTTTGAGAAGAGTAGGGGATGAGCAGAGATGTCTACATTCAGCTAAGACTCAGATTCTTCTACTAGCACTCATATCGCTGAATATTAAATATCTAGTTTCTTGGGATCTAAAAAAAAACAAAAACAAATGAACAAACAAAACAAAAACAGACTCATAGAAACAGAGCTCAAACTGATGGTTGCCGGAGAAGAAGGGGTAGGTGGAGTGGTGAAAAAGGTGACGGGCAATATAAAGTCAGTAATAATGTGATAAGTTTGCATGGTGACAGATGATTACTAGTCTTAGTGAGGTGATCATATTGTAAGCTGTATAAATGTTGAATCACTATATTGTACACCAAAACGAATACAATATTGTACACCAATTATACTTAAATAATAAATAAATATCCAGTTCTTTTATCACTGTACTGAACATAGCTCCACACCTGAAGTGGCATGAGCCATTTGTCAGCTCACACCCTGTTGTTCAAGATGGACCTTCCCATGCCTTATAATCCTGTCTACTAGGGCTGTAGTTCTTAGCAGCTACCCTCCCCATTTTACTGAAATGTCAACTGACAGGCAATAGGAGGAAAATCTTAGAACCAAACTGACTCAAGGCTGGTTCATGGGAACTGCTTTCCCCCATACTCCCTCTGAAGGTCATTGATTCTTCTGAGTATCATTTGATTCATACTTGATATAGTAAAACTTACATTAAAAGGAACATGAGATGGTTAAAGAATGGTTAAGCTCCAGTTAATCAAGTTTGTTGATCTGGATTGCCATCAAATGAGGTGCTATAAAACCCTTTTCTGTTCACCTGAAGAGCCTTATCTTTTTTTCAGTCAATGAACAACATATAGTTCCTTTTAAAAGAGTACCCTATTTATCACTTCATTGATCAGCGTAAATTTTCAGAACTTTTGACAGGAATGTACAATAATTCTGGAGGCATGGGGTTACATTTATGGCATGATCTTTTCTTAATAATTTTTTCCTTTTAATTTTTTTTTTCCTCACCAGAGGCTGTTTTTTCCATTGATTTTTCAGAGAGAGTGGACCATGTGGAGAGAGAGAAACATCGATGTGAGAGGGACCCATCGATTGGTTGCCTCCCATATACACACTGATCGGTGTGAGCTTGCATCCCAGGTGCATGCCCTTGACCAGAATCAAACCTGAAACTCTTCAGTCTGCAAGCCAATGCTCTAATCACTGAGGCTAAATGGCTATGGTTAAAATTTTAATTAGTTATCTCAGTCCATCGGTCCACTTTTTAAATAGAAAAGTTGAAATTAGCTTATGAGATGTTTCTAATCTCTGTGAGGGCGGGTGGACATCTTGATTACCACTGTGTCTCAAGCACCTAGCCTGGTACATAGGCAGTATTTGTTAAATATTAGTAGCCTAAATGAATGAATGTATGAAAATTTTTTTATAAAGTTGTTTATAATATTCCCTTATTTTTTTAATATGTCTTTATTGATTTCAGAGAGAGGAAGGGAGAGGGAGAGAGATAGAAACATCAATGATGAGTCATTGATTGGCTGCTTCCTGCACGTCCCCTACTGGGGATCGAGCCCACAACCTGGGCATGTGCCCTTACTGGGAATCCAACCGAGATCCCCTGGATCATATGTCAATGCTCAACCACTGAGCCACGCCGGCTGGGCTGAATGTATGAAATTTAGTATCTGCATTAGTAATGCTGTTGATTCCATCTTACAAATAATACAGGCCAAACCTGTTCAACCAGGCTTGAAGTTTGTACATCACTAGTAGTCTTAAATCCTTATTTGGAAGTTTCCCATAAATAACATAAAATTGCTCTGATCTCAAGATGTCTCCAGTGTCCCAGATAGCACTAGTTGTGAATATTGAGTGTTTTTTGATTGGGACGTCTTCCTAACCCTGAATTATACTTGACTTAATTTTTCTTCTCTCTCTCTTTCTGAATTCACAGAGCAGTAAAGAAGCCCTTTCAGAGGTCAATGCCACTGGAGTGGCCATGCTTTTCTCTGCCGGGACATTTCTTTATGTTGCCACAGTACATGTCCTCCCTGAGGTGGGCGGAATTGGGCACAATCACAAACCCGACCCCACAGGAGGGAAAGGCCTCAGCCGCCTGGAGGTGGCAGCCCTGGTTCTGGGTTGCGTCATCCCACTCATCCTGTCAATAGGACACCAGCATTAAATGTTCAGGTTCCAGCCTCAGTCCATGGCCGCTTGCCATCCAGTGAGAACAACCAGCACGACAGCTGCTCAGTTTCTCAGTCTCTTGTCTCACCTTGCCCATCTCCACCTGTATTCCTAGAGTCCGGAAGGAGGTGAGATTAAAACCTGGATAATGGAAAGCTTTTAGAGTAGAAACAACGTATCACGACCGGATAGAGACATTCCATTGTGTTGTCTTTTAAAGGGCCCTGGCATTTGAAGTTTTGATGTTTCTCTTAACCCTATTCTCAGGGAAGATGGAATTCAGTTTTAAGGAAAAGTGGAGAACTTCATGCTCACAATGAAATAGTAATTATGACAGTACAATGTTCTGTAATTAAGTGAAATCTCTTAGTTTAGAGGCTCTCCCACTTTATCCATTGATTTTTAACATGGTTCTCACCGTGTAAAACTGGTGCTTTAGCATCTATGCCACATGCCTTGATAGAAGATCATAACGCCTGCTGTCTTAGATGCTAAAGATAACTGTAATTAATTTGGGGCTAGAGTCGGGAAAATGATGGCAAGACACATTGAAAGTTGACTATATACTCGAGAGAGATCCCCTGCAAAGGGGATGTCTGGAGGACTTTAACACCTCCTTCTGCGTATGCCTCTTTGAAGAGAGCCTGCCATTCCACCAAATGGAGCAGCAGCAGTGGACTGGCTTCTAAAGAGGTGACTAGTATTTAGTAGCATTTCTTTCAAGTTCTCCTTTGCAGAACACCTGCCTCCGACACATTCTTATGAGGAGCCAAGTTCTAGTAGGTTCAGGCCTAGGCTTTCCTTCAAGAACAGTCAGATCCCAAAGTATCTTTGGAAATTAAGTGGTGTTAAATTTTAAGCGAATATGGATAGCTATTGATACCTTTGTAATAACCTTTTTAAAAGTAAGATTACCAAAACCGATGTCCTTTGATTTCTTTTTAAGTATTTATCTTAGCAGACCAGCAGTCCCTCTGGCAAAGTATTTGGTGTCTCTTGGGGGGTGCTCGGTCAGTGTCACCTAAGCACCTGTAGCAGTGAAGAAAGTCAAGATGTATCACCAGTGGGAAATGTTTTCCTGTTCATTTAAAGCTTATTGAAATCATGTATTTTGTCTCTTCATCTTTTCCATGCTTTTCTCCTAACTTTTCCCTCCAGTCCCTCCTTCCTACAATTTGCTGCTTACTGCTGGTGGCAATGTTAGTATTTGTGTGAGTTGAGTTCTCATCAGAACAACCACTTCTCGAGCTGTGATAATGAAGATAATATTGTCTCCATTCCTGTTCCCTTCAATGAAGTTCTTTTGTGTCAAATGCAGCTTCATCAAGCCCCTTAAAATAGCACTTTCTCAGAGATGACATGACACAATCACTAATATTCTGGTAACTTAAACAATTGAGATAGTAAAAGTGTTTAACAAACTAGGATGATTTTTTTCTTTTTTGCCAATATCCCTGTAAACCTTATGTTAACAAACAAGTGTATAATATTGTAGTATTTATTTTGATTTTCTGTACCATTTCAAAACATTACAAAAAGAAGGAACCAGACTGTTTTCTTCAGGGCAGTGGATTTAGGAGTTTGTAAAATGTTTTATATGATGCATATGCCAGCATGCCTATGATTTCTTTATTTCCTCCCTAGATTTGTCACTGAGTCAGCAGCTGTGGAAATAGAACTCGTGAGCCCTCTGCTGGCTGTAGACCAAAGTAGCAGGAATAGGACTAGGTTCTGTGTAGCGGCTGGCAGCCATTGCATACAATATCAAAACCAACGGGAGATACAGTATGGAAGCCTAAGTGACTTTCCTGGTAACAACTCTGACTTATGAGAGTCATGGGGTTTCACTTGGTCCTTCAAAATGACACGGTTGCCTTGATTCTCCCTGGATATTAATTCATAAAATGAGTAGCATATTTTAGTGTCTGATTTGGATAGTAGCACTTTCTATCATATTGTTGTGTGCAATGACAAGAGATGTGTTCTGCTGGCCAAAGCCTCTTTCAGCAGTGCCTTGCCATCACGCTTAAAGGTTTGGCTAGAATATCTTGCTGGTTAAAGCCTTGAACTCTGGCAAGGATTGAACCATCTAACTTCCAAATTTGCCTTCCTCTCTTGACCTCACATTAACAGGCAAACCTTTCAAGGCCTATCAGCTCTCTGAAGCCATGGGCTTTCCCAAATTTTAAAGCTGCTGCCTCAGGAACTACTCATTTCTCTCCTGGTCAGCAGACAGAAATAGCCATACTAACCTAATAGGGCTCAAATGCATCTTCAGGCAGCAGGGGACGGAGCAGCGTGGCAGAGGCCTCCCTTCCTGGG